CGGCTCACAGTAGACACTCACTGCGTGACTGATTGCTGAATGGTGAGTGACAATGTTGAAGTCACCTTTAGGAAAGCACTAACGTCAGTTTGGTATTCAACCACCAGGGGGCAATAGCGCTCAGTAGGCAGGGTAGGAGGATGCTTTGAGGGAGGCTTGGATGCTGGTTGGAGGGACCTGGAGTCGATCGTTTTCTCTTCCTGAAGTACTGATTGGTCCTCTCAGGGAACTATTCCTAAATCCCATATACTAGATGACTTAAACAACAGAAATTAATTTACTCATAGTCCTGAAGGCTGTGAAGTCCAAGATCAAGGTTGCAGATCAAGGTTAATCAGGTTGATGCTCCTCCTGGCGAAGGCCCTCTTCCTGGCTTGCTGCCTCCTTACATGCTGTGGAGTGAAAGTTCTGCTCTCTCTTCCTCTTCTAATAAGGGAACTAATCCTGTCCTGGGGGCTCCACCCTCATGATTTGATCATAAAATAAACACTTCCTAAAGGGCCAGTTCCTAAAAACCCAGCATAGGGGAGGGCTTACAAATATGAATTTTGTGGGTATATAAATATTCAGCCCTTAACTTTGACCTCAGAGACTTATAGGTGTGGTTAGAGCTACAAACTTGGAGAGGGTGTCCAGTATATTGGTGGAGCATCAGTTCAGATGTAAAAACGTGTCTCAGGACCTTGTGATTAGGGCCCAAGTCCCTGAAAAATATTATCCCTCGTTAGAAGTCAGGGGTGATGTTCCTACGCAGGAGAAGTCCATGTTCATGATTATAGTTGGGAGCCTCGTTAGTCCTAGCAAGGGAGCTAAGTACTTTTTAAATTGGTTATTACAATAAATGAAAAGAGTTTCTCAAGTTTGCAAAGGTCTTACCAGACCCAGTCCCATAATGTATATTTTAAGGCAACAGGATAGAGCTAACAATAGAAAGATCTTAACCAGACCCACTCCCATGCTATACATTTCAAGATGACAGGATTAGTCAGAAGTTCTCAAGAAGGAGAAAGTTCCTCAAGCAGCATACATTGTTGGTACAGAGTTTAAGGGAAAACATATCCTTGAGCAAGATGAGTTGTTTTGTTGTGCAATCATCAGCTCTGGGCTTATAGAAAAAGTTTGTCCTTTTCTCTTCCTTGAGAACTCCAGACCCCTATCTTCTCCTTGAGAACCCTGGACTGCTTTATCCTCCTTGGGGACCCCAGACTTCTTATCAACCTGCCTAGGAACTGACTCTCTCACTCTTTCATCTCCATCAAGAGGCTGTTTAGCTCTTCTTCAGTTTCTGCCATTAGAGTGGTATCATGTGCACATCTGAGGTTGTTGATACTTCTGGCAATCTTGATTCCAGCTTGTGATTCATCCAGCCTGGACTTTGCATGATATACTCTGAATGGAAGATAAAGGAGCATGGTGACAATATACAGCCTTTTCATACTCCTTTTATAATTTTGAACCATTCAGTTGTTCCTTGTCTGGTTCTAACTGTTGCTTCTTGATCCACATACAGGTTTCTCAGGAGACAAGGAAGGTGGTCTGGCACTCCCATTAATTTAAGATTTTCCCACAGTTTGTTGTGATCCACACAGTCAAAGTCTTTAGTGTAGTCAACAAAGCAAAGGTAGATGTTTTTCTGAATTCCTTTGCTTTCTCTATGATCCAAAGAATGTAGGCAATTTGATCTCTGGCTCCTTTCAAAACACCCTCACTCCCCAGTTTTCCCTTGTAAGACTTTAATTAGTCTATAGTTTGCACTAACTGTTATTCAATACTTAGGGCAGCTCAAAGAAATACCCCTTGTTAGGGCAAACACAGATTTTTTTTTTTTGAGGTGGGATCTTGAGGAGTACCAACAGTTATGTCAAATCATGACAGATTTATTGGGAATGAAACTCTGAAATGGCTCTCTCTGGTGGTTGCAAGATCTCTGGTGTTCACCAAAAATACAAGCTATTCTTTTTCAGGTGAATTATGCTACTTGAGAATGTAGAGCAAGTTAACACACCACAAAATTTCCTGTTCTTATTGAGACTCTGTTGTTTTTCTTGAATAAATGCCCCATCGGATTACTGTGTGTCATAGTTATTTTCCAGAGTTCTGAAAAAGTGATCTACAAGGGAAGCTGTTTTTCTCATTTCTTTTATAAAGGAGATAATTTTCTTACTCTGAGATTTTATATCTTTCACATTTTAACACGCATGTTGAATTATTCATTGTTTTCTAATTATGGCTATCATTGCTCAGTATTTACCTACGTTTCCCTGAATGACTCATTGAAACCACCCATCGTCCCCTTAATAATTAAAAAATTTTAGTGCTGTTTATTTTTCATTAAAATTATGAAACATAATTTTAAACTGGCAAATTATTAGTTCTATTATAAAGGAAGAGAAGAGGAGAGGATTACTGATGGCTAGTCTGCACCTGCTGCTGTCTGCTTCTCCCTCTAGCCCAGCTCTGGGGCTTCTCAGCTGCTCTGTGGTAAACCACGCATGGCTGGCTTGGTGCCTCTTGTCTTTCACCCAGGAATGGTGATTGTAAAAAAGACTAATGGGATCCTCTATCGCAAATTTTCCTTTACCTAGGCTACCTAATCCTTCTCTGAGAGCTGCCATTTCCTCCCATATAAGGAAACAGCTGACCTCTAACTCCTCAGGCTTTCACAGTCATGATGTAAGTTCCTCAGAAATTACGCTCTCCTGAGCAAGTCCATGGCTGGGCTGATGTTGATCCTTGTGAGCAACTTGTCAGTTACTTAAAACACAACCTTGAGCAAGTTATTTAATCTCTTTGTAATTTCAGAATGATCCTTCATTAGATGCATGCAATGCTTAGGTAATATCATGTAATGAGGATTTAATTAAGCACATATTGTAGGTAAGTTTCTATGTGTAATTTTTTACACATAATTATGTATAATAACAATGTGGAATTAAACACATAGAATAGATATTCAATAAATGTATTCTTCACACTCAGCTCTCCATTGGAATAGTTTGCTTTTGGAAATTCAAATAAAAATAGATATGATTACCCATCAAGTCCCTTGGACATCCAGAGTTCTGAAAATTTCTGTGCATTCTCTAGGGCTTAATTTCTCCTGTCATCTCTCAGATCTCTGTTTCCTGGACTGTTCATATCACTGGACTCTACACTTTCCTCCCATCTGATCTTCCTGACACACACACTACGTAGATCCAGGTCTGTCTTCCTTTAATTCTCCAAAGATTCCTGGCACCAAGTGTTTGTGTTTAGTAAACTCTTTGCAAGGTTTCTGAAGTTGGTTTGTGGGCTTGTTTATGTGTTATGCCTAGTACAGGATGGTTAGTATGTGGAATATGACATAGGCTACCTCGACTTTTTAAAAGTTCTAGGTGTTTTGCCAGCATATAAATTCTACCGTGTGGCTCTCTCCCAGTGTCCGTGGCTTGTACCACATTGCTCCTTCTTTCTCTCTAGGCTCCTCCTTCCCAACCCTCTTTAGCAAATGATTTTCAAAACCAAACATTTCTCACACAAAGATTGCTCACAATAGGTGTAGGGACATGACAGAGAAGGACATACCAGACTCATGCATCTTCACCCTGAGAATGACCAGTGGATGAGCTACCTAGATTTTGACTGCATACAGAAGTTGGTGACCACAGGACCAACAGACCATCTTTTGTAGTTATTTCCTCGATAATAGATTGGGTTGGAGGGAATGAGCCTGGTGGATATTCTCTTGTCTGAGATTTTGCAGAACAGTTTAAGGGAACAGAAAATGAACCCTTGTGAGTTGTTTGAAGTCACAGAGTTGGATGGGACAGTGGCTATGATGTAGTGAAATTTTTTCTAGAGTTTGTTGTTGAGAGTACACACTACCCTTGGTTCATTGTGTGATTTTTCACAGGTCATGCAGCCACACTTGACCTCAGTTTTCACATCCAAAAATGGGTTTAATGCACCATGAATACCTTGAGTGCATGACTGAGTGCATGCCAGTCTTGTGGATGCAGCACTGGGGTCTGGGCAGCTAGGGAGAAAGCCTCAGTGGGCAGGAGGAGGAGGCATGGACCAGGAGTTAGGTAGAGAGGGCTGCTCCTATGGAGTGTGGGATGAGATGGTTCTCAGGTGTGGGGACTTAGTCTTGGGAAAAGACACCAGAGCCTGAGTCTCAGCAGGTGGCAGTGAGCCTGAGGCAGCTGAAGCTGTGAACAGGTGGAGTGTAGATATCCATGCCTGTCCCTCCATGATAGCAGGAGCAGGGCTGGCAGAGGATGAAAGAGAAGTGGTGGGTGTGATGCAGACAAGAGCCTATCAGAGGCCATGGGTCTGGCTTTGCCCTGTGTGTAGGGAGGATAACTGCTACTAGTGACAAGTAAGAAAACCAGAAGAGTGTAAGGAACAGATACATGCTAATATTTGTACTGGGCATGTGGGAACTCGACACTTTTCACAGCAACCTTTAGTTTCTTTTGCTAATGGCTTCTTAGCTGGGCAACTGATAGCTGAAGTTCACAGAAAATCAAACAGGAAATTTATCTCAAAATGGTATAAAGAAGAAGATACCTTGCCCATCTTGGGTGTAACAGTGTAATTTCTGTGCTGGATTATAGTTTGATATTAGTGACCAATGCTGCCTGGGCTGAGCTGTTAACCAAGGGAAACTAGTAAAGGGATTATAATGGGGGTAGAGGTAAAGAGTGTGTGATCACCAAACTAGCATGACCACAGAAATGGGGCACCTTGCCTACAGTACAGGTATATCATAAAGTGGAGTTGTTTATATATTTTTCTGCAATAGTTTATTGAGATCCTATTGTAGGTTCGGGGGATGATACGAAACATCTGAATGGCTTATTCTAGCCCTGTGAGCTGGCATCCAGAACTAACTTGGTAGCCCCACCCTTGGGGTGGGGAAGAGCCCAAGAACTGGTAGGAGTGAAGCCTTTCCCTCTCACTTGCTGCTCCTCCTAACTGTTTCCTCTGCAGCTGCAGAGGCTGGCAGGCAGCCTGGGATGGAGCCCTCCTCAGAAGACCCCCACCTCTGCTGGGCCACCTGGCTCCTGGGACTCACCAGCCTCCTCCTCAGTGAGTCGCCTGGGCTCTTTGTGGTGGGGGGCAAGATACAGGGACCCCTTCTCTCTCTGATGTCTTAAGTCGTGCTGCGGCTGTGACCCCTGATTGGAGGCAGCCTTAGCTAGCATAAGGGATCCATTACTGCGGAGGTGAGGTCACTACTGTTTCAATAACAGGGAAGCCAAGGCAGCCTGGAGCTACTTGGGGAGAGGATTAGAGAGAGATACAGAAGCAGCTTCTGGGGAACAAAGGAGTGAGAACAAGACCCCCCTGACTTGACAGAGGGAATGTAATAGCCTCTGCCACTGTCCAGTGGAGAAGGGACAGACCTAGAACCCTGTATCTGAACTGGAGGAAGCAACTGGAGTCTAGTTTTCCTGGGTCGATGCAGGATGTTGAATATAGTAAAATTTTAATTTTGTAAAAGGAGGAGCAGCCTCCAAAATTTAAGGGTGTCTCTCTAGCTACAAGCTGTAAAAGAATGAAGAAACCATGGATGGAACAGTAAACTGCTAAGTGGGTTCCAGCAGGGGGTGAACTTGGAGAAGAAAGAAAGGAGGGTGAAGCAGAGATGACTGGGAATTAATCAAAAAGGGAACTTAAAGGACGACTGTCATGAGAAAGTTGTATATCTCATTTATTTATATATTTTTAGCTTTCTATTTATTTTTTACATTGAAGGATAATGGATTTACAGTATTTTGTTGTTTCCTGTCAAACATCAAGATGAATCAGCCATCGATATCCATATATATCCTCCCTCTTGAAACTCCCTCCCATCTCCCTCCTCATCGCACCCTTCTAGGTTGATATGGAGCCCCTGTTTGAGTTTCCTGAGACATACAGCTGATTCCCCTTGTGCATCTATATCACATGTGGCAATGTAAGTTTCCACGTTGCTCTGTCCATACATCTCACCCTCCGCTCCCCTCTTCCCATGTCTGTAAGTCTGTTCTCTGTGTTTGTTTTTCTATTACTGCCCTGCAAATAAATTCTTTGGTACCATCTTTCTAGATTCTGTATGTATGCGTTAGCATATGATATTTATCTTTCTCTTTCTGACCTACTTCATTCTGTATAATAGGCTCTGTGTTCATCCACCTCATTAGAACTGACTCAAATGCATTCCCTTTTATGGTGGAGTAATACTCTATTGTGTATATGTACCAAAACTTCTTTATCCATTCAACTGTTGATTGACATCTAGGTTGCTTTCGTGTTCTAGCTGTTGTAAATAGTGTTGCAATGAACAAGGGGATTCAGGTGTCTTTCAATTTTGGTTTCCTTATGGTATGTGCCTAGGAATGGAATTACTGCATCATAAGTTGTTTTATTCCCAGTTTTTAAAGAAATCTCCATACCGTCTTCCTTAGTGGCTTTATCAATTTACATTCCCACCAACAGTGCACAGGTTTCCTTTTCTCTACACCCTCTCCAGCATTTATTGTTTGTAGACTGTTTGACTATGGCCATTCTGACCAGTGTGAGGTGATATCTCATTGTAGTTTTGATTTGCATTTCTCTAATAATGAGTGATGTTGAGCATCTTTTCAGGAGTTTGTTAGCCATTTGTATGTCTTCTTTGGAGGAATGTCTATTTAGGTCTTTTCCCCATTTTATTGATTGGGTTGTTTGTTTTTCTGGTATTGAGTTGTATGAGCTGCTTGTATATTTTGGAAATTAATCCTTTGTCAGTTGTTTCATTTGCTGTTATTTTCTCCCATTCTGAGTGCTGTCTTTTCAACTTGCTTATAGTTTCCTTTTCTGTGCAAATCTTTTAAGTTTAATTGGGTCCCCCTTGTTTACTTTTGTTTTATATCCATTACTCCAGGAGATGTGTCATAGAGGATCTTGCTTTGATTTATGTCATTGAGTGTTCTATCTATGTTTTCCTTTGAGTTTTATAGTTTATGATTTTAAATTTAGGTCTGTAATCCATTTTAATTTTATCTTTATGTTTGGTGTTAGGAAGTGTTTTAACTTCATTCTTTTACATGCAACTGTCTAGTTTTCCCAGCGCCACTTATTAAAGAGGCTGTCTTTGCCGCATTATATATTCTTGCCTCCTTTGTTAAAAAATACCCATAGGTGCCTGACTTTATTTCTGGGCTTTCTATCTTGTTCCCTTAGTCTATATATTTCTGTTTTTGTGTCAATACCATACTGTCTTGATGACTGTAGCTTTGTAGTATAATCTGAAGTCAGGAAGGTTGATTCCTCCAGCTCCATTCTTCTTTCTCAAGATTGCTTTGGCTATTCGGGGTCTTTTGTGCTTCCACATGAATTGCAAAATTTTTTGTTCTAGTTCTGTGAAAAATGCCATTGGTAATTTGTTAGGGATAGCATTGAATCTGTAGATTACATTCAGTAGTGTAGTCATTTTCACAATATTGATTCTTCCTCCCCAGGAAGATGGAATATCTCTCTGTCTGTTTCGGTCATTTTTTATTTCTTTCAACAATGTCTCATAATTTTCTGTCTAAAGTACTTTTGTCTCCTTAGGTAAGTTTATTCCTAGATACTTTATGCTTTTTGTTGCAATGGTGAATGAGATTGATTCCTTAATTTCTCATTCTGATTTTTCATTGTTAGTATACAGGCATGCAAGTGATTTCTGTGTATTGATTTTGTATCCTGTGACTTTGCTAAATTCACTGATTAGTTGTAGAAATTTTCTGATACTATCTTTAGTGTTTTCTATGTACAGTATCATGTCATCTGCAAACAGTGGGAGCTTTCCTTCTTCTTTTCCAATCTGGAATATTTTTGTTTCTTTTTCTTCTCTGATTGCTTTAATTAGGACTTTCAAAACTATGTTAAATAATAGTGGGGAAAGTGGACACCCTTGTCTTGTTCCCAATTTTAGGGGGAATGCTTTCAGTTTTTCAATATTGAGAATAATTTTTGCTATGGGCTTATCATACATGGCCTTTACTATGTTGAGGTAGGTTCCTTCTATGCCCATTTTTTGACGAGTTTTAATCATAAATGGATGCTAAATTTTGTCAACATCTTTTCCTGCATCTGCTGAGATTATCATATGGCTTTTATCTTTCAATTTGTTAATATGATGTATCAGATTGATTGATTTGCATTTATTGAAGAATTCTTGGAATAAACCCAACTAGATCATGGTGTATGAGCTTTTTCAATGTGTTCTTGAATTCTGTTTGCTAAAATTTTATTAAGGATCTTTACATCTATGTTCATCAGTGACACTGACCTATAGTTTTCTTTTTTGTGTGTTGTCTTTGTCTGATTTTGGTATCAGGGTGATGGTGGTCTCATAGAATGAGTTTGGAAGTGTTCCATCCTCTGCAAGTGTTTGAAAGAGTTTTAGAAGGATTGGTATTAGCTGTTCTCTAAATGTTTGATAGAATTCTATGAAGCCATCTGTTACTGGGTTTTTTTTTTTTGGGGGGGGGAGAGAATTTTGATTACAGCATCTATTTCAGTGCTTATAATTGTGTTCATAATTTCTATTTCTTCCTAGTTCAGTCTTAAAGATTGAGTTTTTCTAAGAATCTGTCCATTCTTCCAGGTTACCCATTTTATTGCCATATAATTGTTCATAATAGTCTCTTATTTTAATCTTATTAATTTCTGCATTGTCTGTTTTAACCTCTCCTTTTTCATCTCTAATTTTGTTGATTTGATTCTTTTCTCTTTTTTCTTGATGAGTCTGGTTAAAGGTTTGTCAATTTTGCTTATCTTCTCAAAGAGCCAGCGTTTAGTTTTATTCATCTTTACTATTATTTCTTTCATTTCTTTTTCATTTATTTCCAGTTTGATCTTTATGATTTCTTTCCTTTTGCTAATTTTGGGACGTTTTAGTTCTTTTTCCAGTTGTTTAGGTGTAAAGGTAGATTGTCTACTCAAGGTTTTTCTTGTTTCTTGAGATAGGATTGTATTGCTAAGAACTTCCCTCTTAGAACAGCTTTTGCTGCATCCCAAAGGTCTTGAGTTGTCCTGTTTTCATTGTCATTTGTTACTAGGAATTTTTTGATTTGATAAATTGCAGTTACAAAATCAGGGAAATAATCATTTAAATAATGGAATATACACATATACATATACACCCCTAAGCAAAATCAAAACAATCAAACAAAAATAAAGTACAATAGATTGACGTGGTGAACAAAGGAAACCAAAAATGATATCTACCACTTAAGAACACAACTAACTGAAGCAGACGCTGGAGGGGAAAAAAAAAAAAAAAAAAAAAAAAAAAAAAAAAAAAAAACCATGCTAAAGCAAAGTGCCCCTGGATTTCACTTGTGAAACCTTGGCTCCACCCCCGATGCATGACTCAGCAGTATTTCCTTGCTTCCATGGCTGCTTGACTTTCTTCCACAGGCATTTCCCACCACAACCTGCTGCCTCATGTCCCCTAGCTCTGCCTCTCTGCAGTCAACAGCAGCCCTTGCCATAGGATTGCTCCACAGTCCATACAATTCAGCTCCCAGACACTGTGACTTCTAGGAGACCTGTGTCATACCACAGTCATACTGCAGACAAGGACTGTCTGATTCTCCTTCCATTTAGGCTGCCACAGATCAGCTGTTTCACTCTCAGCCTTAAATGCTTCTCCTCTGACACAGACAATTGCCCTGATATGGGGTCAGACCCCTGCTTCATTTCCCCCAACCGCTGAGGGCAGGTCCAGTCCTACTAACTCTTATCCCTCCCTAGTTCCTTTATCCTACCAAGTTTTTCATGCTTGTGTATATTTTTTTCCAGTGGTCAGGTACTCCTGTCTGCTCTCAGGTGTTGTTCAGCAAGCACTTCTGTGTCTGAAGGTGTATTCCTGATGTATCTGTGGGGGAGATGTACTCTGCATCTGCCTACTCCTCAACCATCTTGTTCTCTGTATATCTCATTTATGACTTCATCACAGATTATGAGTTTATAATGAAATTAAATAAGAACTGATGAGAAATAATATTACCCAGTGAAGTAGCAATTCTGAAGAACGTTTGGAAAGCTTTTATTGTTTTAATTTTTGGGTTTAGTGTCCCAGTCATTATATGAACTTGTCAGAGTTATATAAAATTCAGTGGATTAGAGAGCATTTGAAAACATTCGTTCTAAGTTGCTTCAGTTGTATCTGAGTCTTTTTGACCCTACAGACTATAGCTCTCCAGGCTTCTCTGTCCATGAGATTCTCGAAGCAAGAAGACTGGAGTGGACTGCAGGGGATCTTCCCGACCAACGGATCGAACTCATGTCTCTTAAGTCTCCTGCATTGGCAGGCCAGTTCTTTACCATCAGTGCCACCTGGAAAGCATTTGTAAACAGATGTCTTGAAATAACAATGATCTTTGCATGACATTACGTCCCATTTAACTAAGTAACTTTGTGTCAAGAGTAAAATGTAAGCTTTTTCTTCTGTCAATTTTATTTCACTAGAGACATATGTTAGAGTTGTTTTGTTTTTCCTATAGTTCCTGGGGCTCAAAGATTACATAAGAAAGACAGACAGACATGCAGAGAGGCAGAGGGAGAAAGGGAGAGAGGAAGGGGGGGAGGAGAGAGAGAGACACTTCTCTCTTTCTTCTTCTTCTTCCTATATAGGCACTAATCTCTTAATGAGAACCCCAAATCTGGATGATATAAAAACGCAAAAATATATGGTTTCAGTTCTGGTGCTCGCAAGTCCAAAATCGAGGTGTCAGCAGGAATATATTCTCTCTAAAACCTGTAGGGTGTGTTACACTGTATGGACTGCCAAACAAGAGGCCACAGACTGGGTGAATTAATGGCAGAAATTTGTTTTCCCTTAGTTCTGGAGGCTATATTCTAAGATCAAGTTTTGTGCCAGCTCTGTTTCTGGTGAGAGAGGGATAGGACACTGTGTCATGGGGGCCTTCTGGCCATGGCGTTTGCATCCTGATTTGTTTAGAGGGACTGGTAGCAAAAGTTTTCCCAGCTGTTCTCAATTGACCTTCTGTGAACTGTGTGTGCTGTGTGTATGGGGTCCATTCTCACACCAGGGTGTGTGCTTTACAGCGGGGCCCCCAATTCCGTGGCCATGGACAAGTGCTGGTCCCTGGCCTGTTAGGGACCTGGGCACAAAACAGGAGCTAAGTGGCAGGTGAGTGAGTGAAGCTTCATCTCTATTTACAGCCACTCCCCCTCACTCATATTACTGCCAAAGCTCAGGAAAACAAGCTCAGGGCTTCTGCTGATTCTGTATTATGATGAGCTGTATAATTATCTCATTACAGGTCACAATGTATTATTATAATAATAAAGTGCACAATAAGTGTAATGCGATTGAATCATCCTGAAACCATCCCCCATCTGTAGAAAAATGGTCTTCCACAACAGCAGTCCCTTGTGTCAAAAGGTTGGTGACTGCTGCTCTACAGGGCAGCAGTCCTTTACACCAGACCTAGCCTTGCATTAGGGTCTCATAGAAGAGTTAGGTGTGGAAAGAAGGGACAAAAGAGGAGCTCTGAGGAGCCAGACAGGATATATGGATGAGTGAATACCTTTTACTCTCGTGGACAACTTTCCCTAATGATACATGTTGTGAAGCCTAATGACCTTAAAAGGTCATTAAGCTCAGTGTGAGGGTCTGTAAGAGGGTCTGTGAGTTCTGTAAAAGGAGTTGAAAGGATCATGATGAAGGCCTGATCCTGAGGCGATGCCTTATCACATGAGTTGGTGATTAAATAAATACAAATATATGAAACACCTCTCTGTGCATATGAATGCTGGCATGAGCTATTCTCTGCTTCCAGTGAGACCAGGAATGGGTGTTAGTGCAGCAGGAGGAAGGCAGGTTTGAGAGGAGAATGTACTGATTTGGAGAGAAGACTGTGTTCCTGGCAGTCAGAGCCCCACCCAGGCAAATCTTGACCTGCTGGAAGAAGGAGATTATTTTTCCTTTCAGGATATAGTTATTCTGTGGCACTTTCCCTGGTCCTGTACAGTCCTACCATGGTCCCCTAAAGGACAGAGGGTATCAGGTCCCTGGACCTTAGGCCTCAAGGGGCAAGATAAACTCTGGAGCAATTGGCCCTGAGGGGAATGTGCCAAGTGGTCACAACTCTGCATAAAATAGTCTGAGGAAAGCCCACTGCGATTTCTCAGGGACTCGTTGGGAAGTGCTGACTTGGTAGCAGGGATGGCAGAGTTCATTAAATGCTCACTTGCTCCCTCTCATATTCTAGGCCATGGCAGTTAGCCAGGGCCTTGTGACCAGTGCTGGCAAAAAAGCAAAAACAGAAATCACACTATTTCTGGACAGAAGCAGGGAAACCCTTGGGTGATTCTCCTGTCTCCCCTCCCTACTGTGGGACTGGGAGCCTGTGAGGATGCTGTGAGCTCCATGGGTGCAGCTACAAGGAGGTGGCGCCTCCTCCATGTGTGATAGGACTTCTCTCTCACTGTCTCTTGGGACCGGGGTGTGTGATATAAACACCCCTTGTCTAAGACTCTGAGGTATTATAACTTTTTTACACAGCACAGTCTATCTGTCCTGACTACAACACTGCCTATAAAGAACAGGAAGGAGAGCAGCCTTCATATTTGTATTAGGTGTCTATTGCTGTATAACCTGTTACCCCAAAACGTAGTGCCTTAATCACCACCCAATATGGTTTCACAGTTTCTGTGGGTCAGGGCTTAGGGGTAGTTCAGCTGGGTCCTCTCTGGCTCAAGGTGTCCCCAACTAACATCAAAGTCTTGGCTGGGGCTGCATCAGCCCTGGGGTCATCTCAGAAGGATCTGTTTCTAAGCTCACTTGTGTGATTGTTGATGGGAGGCAGTTTCTGTGCCTGTTGGGTTGAGGGCCTCAGTTCCTCCCTGGCTGTTGGCCAGAGGCTCCCTCAGTTCCTTGCCATGTGGGCCCCTCCTTAGGGCAGCTGATAACATGGCAGGTGTATTCCTCAGAGTGAGAAAGAGAGTGAAGGAGAGAAAGAGAGTGTGTGTGTAAGGAAGAGGGATGTCACAGTCTTGTGTAACCCAGTATAATGGAGTAACATCCATCTGTGTCTGTATTCTATTCCTTGGAAGCAAATTACTAGGTGCAGCCCATATTCTAGGGGAAAAGGTGTCAACGGGTGTGAACAGGAGGAAGGGGGGTCTTTGAGAGACACTTTGGAAGCTCCTTCTACAAATTCATAGTTATATACACCTGAAAATGTGATTCAGACCATGATCTCACATAATTCACACACATCATTAACAGCCAAGCAAGGGAAATCTGGGAAATCTTAAACTTAGCAAGTTTAAGTAACTTGTTCAAGCTTAGGCACCACCAGAACCAGGATTAGATTCCAGAATTACTTCAAATTCACTTTACTTGCATTCCAAGAATCAGGAGAGTATATTGGATGGATTTTATGAAAAAGATAAGTTCTGTTGTTTTCTCTTTTCTTCTTAACTGAGAAACTACTCACATTTTCTATCTCCAATGTCCTAGGCATCTGCAGCACAGTGGCCGGGAATTTTGGATCACGTGGTTCTGAAGCTCAGGATTCTGGATTTGTTCCCATGTATGGGATACGAGGAGGTTCTGTGTTGTTTCATGTGATCAAGGAGCAAGATGCTGACCCAGAGGAGGTCTCATGGGGCTTTGGTCCTGAGTCAAACTACAGAGTCCTGCTACGAGTCCGCCGTGGGGCAGACACCCCAACCTGGGTCAGCCTCCAGGACAAGTACCAGCAGAGGGTCCACGTGCCCAACGTAAGGTCTCTGAAGATTGAGAGCCTGACCTCTGAGGACAGTGGGCAGTACCGGGCTCGAGCCAGCTTCACTGGAGGAACAGAACTTACCGAGGTTTTCCACCTCACTGTTGATGGTAAGTGACACCTCCTCACCCCACCCTAAGGTTTCCCTCCTGCTTTTGTGATAGGAGTTTCACACAGGCCCTGTTTTTCAGGATCCCTTCAAGACACCAGACTTCATATCCCATTTTCTCATTCAGAATTAGGATAAGTAAGTTTACCACAAATGAACAGAGCTGAGATTCAAACCAGGGATAAAATCACTCCAGCGTTTTGGATAAGGAGAAAGAAAATTTGGGGTAAGTGTATTTATCATCAGTTCAGTTCAGTTCAGTCACTCAGTCATGTCTGACTCTTTGCGAGCCTATGGACTTCAGCATGCCAGGCTTCATTGTCCATCACCAACTCCTAGAGCTTGCTCAGACTCATGTCCAATGAATGGATGATGCCATCCAGCCATCTCATCCTCTGTCTTCCCCTTCTCCTCCTGCTTTCAGTCTTTCCCAGCATCAGAGACTTTTCTGATGCTGTGAAAAGTCAGTACTTCACATCAGGTGGCCAAAGTATTGGAGCTTCAGCTTCAGCATCAGTCCTTGCAATGAATATTCAGGGCTGCTTTTGTTTACTATTGACTGGTTTGATCTCCTTGCAGTCCAATGGACTCTCAAGAGTTTTCTCCAACAGCACAGTTCAAAAACATCAATTCTTTGGTTCTCAGCTTTCTTTATCATCCAACTCTCACATCCATACATGACTATTTGTAAAACAATAGCTTTGACTAGAATAAACTTTGTCGGCAATGTAATGTCTCTGGTTTTTAATATGCTGTCTACGTTGGTCATAGCTTTTCTCCCAAGGAGCAAGTGTCTTTTAGTTTCGTGGCTGTGATCACCATCTGCAGTGATTTTGGAGCCCTAGAAAATTAAGTCTGTTACTGTTTCCATTGTTTCCCCATTTATTTGCCATGAAGTGATGGTACTGGATGCCATGATCTTAGTTTTTTGTTGTCGAGTTTTAAGCCAGCTTTTTCACTCTCCTCTTTCATTTTCATTAAGAGACTCTTTAATTCCTCTTTTCTTTCTCCCATCAGTGTGGTGTCATCTGCATATCTGAGGTTATTGATATTTCTCCTGGCAATCTTGTTTTCAGCTTGTGCTTCATCCAGCATGGCATTTCACAGTATGTACTCTGTGTAGAAGTTAAATAAGCAGGGTGACAACATACAGCCTTTACGTTCTCCTTTCCCTATTTGGAACCAGTCTGTTGTTCCATGTCTACTACTTACTGTTGCTTCCTGACCTGCATACAGATTTCTCAGGAGGCAGGTAAGGTGTTCTGGTATTTCCATCTCTTTAAGAATTTACCACAGTTTGTTGTGATCCACACAGTCAAAAGCTTTAGCATAGTCAGTGAAACAGATGTAATTGTTTTTCTGGAACTCTCTTGCTTTTTCTATAATCAACAGATGTTGGTGATTTGATCTCTGGTCCCTTTTCCTTTTCTAAATCCAGCTTGAATACCTGGAAGTTCTCAGTTCAGGTACTATTGAAGCCTATTTTGGAGAATTTTGAGTATTAGTTTGCCAGCGTGTGAGATGAGTGCAATTGTGAGGTAGTTTAAGTATTTTTGCATTGCCTTTCTTTGGGATTGGAATGAAAACTGACCTTTTTCAATCCTGTGGCTGAACAGGAACATTTAAAACTTACACTCAGTTAGAAATAACTTCATGCTCATTCTGCTTCTGTTACATATTCTTGCTGAGTGAAGATGGTACACGGTGACCTAGCAATCAACTATTACCATAAGATATTCTGACAAGTATGGAATATTCTGTTCCTGCTTCTATGAGTTTCAGTTTGGAAATTTCCTGCATGTAACCCATAGCAACTCCTGTGCTCTGTAATTGCCCCAAATCCATAGCAACCAGGTAACCAATCAACTGGTGCCAACTGTAATTGTGTGTACTGACCCTATAAGAGTAAAACTCATCCTGAACTCGGGCCCCCAGATGTCAGAGGGTTAGCTTGTCCGGGACCACTGGCTTAATAAACCTGAGTCCTCCCACCCTCCAAGTGTGGTGCTTGGTTTCTTTATGGTCTGACTTCTGCAACATTTCTGGAAGTCCCAGCGAGATTCCAACCACACTGGCCCCTTGAGACACTGCACCAGTGGCTTGGCCGGTTCAGAGTGGAGGAACTCCGAGACAAATGAGGAGGGCCGCCACTTGGTGGTTTTCTGTATTGTGTTTTGGACTGGCATTCTGAGTCTCCATATGGCTGAGCCCTGGCCGGACTCATTGGACGGATGGACCAACTCACCAGGCAAGACTTCTCAACAAGGTAAGGCCCTAGGCCAGTCCCCAGTCATGTCCTAACTCAATGGGTAGAAGAGGAGATTGAGCATCTCCTTGAGCAACAGTTAGGGAAATCTGGGAACTATGCAGAAGGAAGGTGTTGTGATGACCTCTGTTCTGAATGTGTATATGAGTGAACTCCCAAGTTTGTCCTTGTTCTAGGGTGATTGTGTGGCTACACGGCCCTAATGGCTTTGGATTCTGAGTATGCCCTAGCCTGTGGTTCTGGGGTGACCTCATATGGCTCAGGGCAGTGTCTGTCTCTTGGGGGATCCAGTCCCTCCTTGTGAGTCAGATCCTTGTCAGAGGCTTATACTGACCTGCCAAAGCTAAGAGGTACCTAAGTTCCCCGTGGGGACATGGTCAGGTGGGCACCTGAATGGTCTCCTCTTGGAGGGGGTACCCACACTTGTTTGTCTTCGTGTCACCAACACAGGGCAGGATACACAGGGAGGGGGACAACTGGTCACTGATATGATTTAGAAGTTGTGTATGTCCAAATGGCTCTTTTGCCCTAGGACCGTCTGCCAAAATTATTTTCTTAAAATTTTGAATGCTCAATTTCCCCTTCCATCAGCTGACTCTCTGAGCCAACTTATTGAGAAATTGAGTTTTCCTCAAAAACTTGCCTCTTTTGCCAGGCAGTTCTGTACCTCCCTTTCTCTTGGTCCCTTGAGCCAGCCCGTGTGGAGAGGCACACTCTGACGTGCTCCTGCATAATTTTGGATTCTCATTATGAGGCTGCCTTCCTCTTTCACCTTTTCCTTAGAATTCCCTGATTCCCCAAGTGTTTCGGGCCCTTCACCTAGGCAAGGAGTATGCATGCTGCTCTCTCCACTTGCTCAGTGCCTTTGAGAGGGTCAGTCACCCCAGATGCCCTCCGGAGTCCCACTTGATATTATTCCTTCATGAATCCCTTTACAAGGGATTGCCTCCTTTCAGTCCTGTCTCCCTGAGGCATTTAGCGATCAGGGCCATCTTCAAGGAGACCCGTAATTGCGATGTATGGGAATACTGGGCTTCCCAGGAGTGGTGATGTCAGTGCTACCTGAGCTATAAGGCCCTAGGACAAGGCCCTTCCCGTGTGCACCCCTCTCCTTCCTGGGCAGAGAGGCAGATTACATTTGTCAATATGGGGGAAGCTACTGTAAACCAACTGTTTTAGATTGTATGATGAAACACTTTAAGAAAAATTTCTCTGGAGACTATGGGGTTAAGATGACCTCAGGAAAGCTCCGCACCCTGCATGAGTCAGAATGGCCCACCTTTGGGGTGGCTTGGCCTGCAGAGGGTACTCTAGAACCTCCTACTGTTAGAGGTGGATCCTGAGCAGTGACAGGGACCCCCAGCACCCAGACCAGTTTCCATACATAGACTGCTGGTTGCAAATCACCAATCAGCTAACTCCTTCAGTTCTGTGCAACCGGCAGGGACAGTGTCGGATCTTTGAGCCAGTGGCCCGGCTGGCTGCAAGAAAAGGCAAAGAAGGGCCAAAAAGGTTATCCACCAAGGGAACCCTGAAGAAGAGTCCCTGTGCCTCTGCCCTACATTCCAACTGCTCCTCCAGTTCTCACTCAGCCTCCTCACCCTTTACCAGACAGCCCTCCACCATCTGTGTCTCCAACACCTCCATATCCAGAGCACCCTCCGAGCCCACAGCAACTTCGCTCAGACAACCGGCCAACTCAATAGCCCACAGCCCTGCTGATGCCTTTATGAGAGACCTGAGGCCCTCCCCAGATTAATGAGGATGGCTCTGTCAAGCTAGGATTCCCAGTCCTTTATTACCAACCCTTTACTACTACCAACCTCCTCAACTGGAAACACCACATTCCATCTTACTCAGAGAAACTGCAGGCAATGATTGGTCTTTTTCAGCCTATTTTTTACAGTCACCAACCTACCTGGGACAACTGTCGCCATCTTCTCCTGACTCTTTTTGACACTGAGAAATTCTGCTGAATCCTTTATAGGCTCTGGATGGATCCAAGGGCAGGGGCCATCTGGTACAGTAGATCCTGCAGCCTGGGCCCTAGGGACTACAATGGACATATGGCCCAACTGGGACTTCAATGCCCTGGATGGGAAGGACTCCCTGGACAAGAACTGGCAAGCCCTGCTACAGGGACTGAGGGCAGGAGTCAGAAAACCAACCAATCTGTCTAAGACAACAGAGGGGCACCAGAAGCACCCGGTGAATCACCAGAGGTGAATCACCCATGGTGTTCTATGAGAGACTGTGTGAAGCATTCTGGGTGTACACCACTTTTGACCCTGCAGTGCAAGAAAACCAATGCATGGTCAGCACGGCATTTATGGCTCAGTCTTACCCTGACATCTGACTTAAGCTCCAGAAACCCGAGGGCTTCACTGGAATGAATGCCACTCAGCTGCTGGAGGTTGCAAACAAGGTGCTTGTGAACCACTACCGAGAAGCCCAAAGGATGGCTGACAAGAGAATGAAGTAGATGTTACTGCTGGCTGCTGCACTGGGGACTCCAGATCCAGTGAAACAGACTGTTCCTCTATGGAAAGGGGAAGTCAAGGAGAGACCACTACTGCATCTCGACCAGAGCACCTATTGTGAAGAGACTGGACACTGGAAGAATGAATGCTCCCATCACAGAAGGATGTGTGAATGGTCAAAGAAGTTCAATCAACTCAACAAAGGAAAGTACCAGCCTGAGCCAGTTGTCCAAAACCTTTTCGGCCTGGCAGGAG